GGCGGATCGAGCGGAGGAGGCGGCCCCGCCCGCCTGCTCCAGCCAAGGAGCGCGCTCATTGGTCGCGGGGGCGGGGCTTAGGGCTGCAGGTGGCCGCCCGGCCGGGCGCCGGCCTCAGTCTGCGATCAGCTGCCAGCAGCGTCGGGACTCGGCCGGAGGCGCTGAGCGGGTGAGGGGCTGCCGGGGCGGGCACGCAGGGGGCTGCACGCAGTGACGTACAGCCCCCCCCGGGGGTCCCCGTTCCCAGCCCAGCTGGGGGTGGATCTGCCCCCCCCCGTCCGCCAATCCGGATCAGAGCCGGCGCCCCCTAGAGGGGAAACTCCCTGGATCCCCTTCCTGACACCATCCCTTTTTTCCTTTGCAGAGGGAGTCGCTGTCTTGCCTGCCATGGGGCTGGAGGCCGAGCCCCTCGCCGCCCCCCACCCTTACTGGCCCCGGGACCTGGAGATCCGGCGCTACATCCCCAACGACCGCCCCACCTGGCACAGCCTGGCTTTCCTCTTCTCTGTCTCGGCGGCCCTGCTGACGCTCACCTGGCTGGCCGCCGGCTGGCGGGGGTGGACGGGGGCGCCCATGAGGACCGGGCGCCGTCTGGCCCTCTGTTGGTTCGCCATCTGCGGCTTCATCCATGGCGTGATTGAGGGCTGGTTCAGCCTCTACCACACGGATATACCAGGGGACCAGTCCTTCCTCTCCCAGCTGTGTAAGGCATGGGAACCAGGACTCCTGGGTTCTTTGGATGGGGGATGGACTCTGGTGGGTTAGACTGGGAGCCGGGACTCCTGGATTCGATCTCTAGCTCTGGGAGGGGAGTGGGGTCTAGTGGTTAGAGCAGAGGCGCTGGGAGGCAAGACTCCTGGGTTCCATCCCCAGCTCTGGGAGGGGAGTTGGGTCTAGTGGTTAGAGCAGGGGAGGCTGGGAGCCAGGACTCCTGGGTTCTAGCCCAGCTGAGGGGAGCCCTGACGGGAGCTGTTTGCTACCGTGATGTGAGGAAAGGAAATCTGCTAGACAGGTTACCTGCCCTCCGGGTGAATCCTCTTCCGGAGAGACGGACCGGGAGGCCGGGGAGAACTACGGATCCTTGTAGAAACAGCTCCAGAGGTTCCACTGCTCCTAGCTGGGAGAGGAAACTATGGAAATTCCCAGCCCCAAAACTTTGTGAAAACCGAATGGGTTTTAGAATATTTCCTCCCTCGTTTCAAAACCTCTCCATGGTCCTCCCTCCCCTCCCATAAAATGATGAGTTTGATTCGTTCTCTGTGACCCGACGAGCGACTGTTTCAGCTGAATCTTGTTTCTGCCTCCAGGGAAGGAGTACGCCAAAGGAGACAGCCGATATGTCATGTGAGTTTTAGTCTTTGTGTGTCCCATTCCCCCCCTTCCCCTTTTCTGATTCCTTCCCACCCACCCACCCACCAATCCACTGGCATCTGCCCAAAATCCACCTGGAAATTTTGGAATGGATCGGATGCAGCCTTCAAAAAACCCATCAGGTTTCACACGTGCCTGCTAGCTCAGCGCAAGCAAACACTATGTGGTTTAATATCACTAAATGCAAATGCATCCCTCCAGGAACAAAGCACACAGGCAATGCGTACAGGATGGGGGGGGACTCTGTCTTGACAAAGATTTGGAGGTCATGGGGGACAATCGGCTGAATGGGGGCTCCCGGTGCGACGCTGGGGCCAAAACGGGGATTTGGCCCTGGTGCCACTGCTGCTGGGATCCGGCGTCCGTTGATCAGTCGGGGGGCGTCAGAGAAGTGCTATGAGAATGATTCAAGGATCAGAAACCCAGCCTTGGTGTGAGAGACTCCCTGAGCTCCAGCTATGGAGCTGAACGAAGAGACGGCTGAAGGGTGATTGGATCCCGGTCGTATCTACGCAGGGAACAAACATTTGAGAACGGGTGCTTGATCGAGCAGAGGAAGGTCAAACCCGATCCGACGGCTCGAAGTCGAAGCTAGACCAATTCCGGGTGACTGCCCCCTGCCTTCATTGCGTTATTCCCAGCAAACGACGGGCTATCAATAACACGCAGCCCTTTGGAGGAAGCCCCTTTTAGCCGTAAGGCAGGAGCGCTGCGGGGAAAACAGCCAAAGAAGCGACACATAAATCGACCGGGGCGGTGTCAGTCTAAAGATTGGCCCCCCAATTCCCTCCCCAATCTCAGGGCGAAGTTCGGAAGGCTGAGTCTGTGGGGCAGGGGCGCTGGCGCCACCCGCTTCTCCTCCACATGTCCTGGGAATGTAGCTTGCCAGGTCCCAAAAGATCAGCCGGGTTTGCTGCGTCGTGCCATGGCCTTTTCACAGCCACGCCGCTCGTGGGTTGGTAGGTTCTGGGGACAGAAGGGGCTGTTGTGATCAGCACGGCCGACTTCCCGGCCAACCGAGACCAGAGAACCTGCCCTGTCGTGCCAGGCGCTGCACGGACCCACCCCTGAGAGCAGGGCCCCTGTTAGGTGCTGCATAACCCCCCACCCCACCAGCCGCTAGATCGGGGCCCCTGTCCCCGCACAGCCCCTCCCAGAGGGAGATCATAGCCCTTGCATTACTGGGTGCATGAAGCCCCACATTGTGCCTGGTGCTACACAGACCCCTCCCCGCACTGAGACCCCAAAGAGCTTCCAGTCTAAACACACCCAGGCAGGACCATACTCCTCATGGTACGGCTGGGGAAACTGAGGCCAATGAGGTGCGAGCTGAGACATATGGTTGTTTGGGAGGGATGGGAACGGGGGGGCTTTAGAAGTTGGGTTAACCCTTGGGTGCCTCTCTCCTCTGTCTGCAGAGAGGACAATTTCACCGTGTGCATGGAGACCATCACTGCCTGGGCGTGGGGCCCGCTGAGCCTGTTGACTGTGCTGGCCTTCCTCCAACGCCAGCCCCACCGCTACGTCCTGCAGCTGGTGGTGTCGCTGGGTAAGGGCAGCCGGATGCCTGGGTCCCCTCCCTAGCTTGGGGAGGGGGGTCTAGTGGTTAGAACCGGAGGGGTTGGGAGGCAGGACTCCTGGGTTCTCTCCCTGGCTGTAGAATGGCTCAGGGGCTGATGGTCAAAGGTCCCAGATCAGCTTCATCTTGACCTAGCCTGGACCCCAGATGCCCCCTGATCTTTCCATGACCCTTGGATTCTCCTCAATCTGACCCCTTGACCTTTCCTCCCCACCCCAGGCCAGCTGTATGGCGACATCCTGTACTTCTACACTGAATACCGAGAAGGCTTCGCCCACAGCGAGATGTGGCACCCGCTTTACTTCTGGTTCTACTTCGTCTTCATGAACGCCCTGTGGATCGTCATCCCCTCCATCCTCCTCCTCGACGCCTGGGGGCACCTGAGCGCTGCCCAGAGGGCGCTGGACTCTGTCAAGCCCAAGAGACACTGATGCCTCACCCCCCCCCGCCACCCGGGGTGGGGGTATCTGGCACAAAACTGCCCCGGGGGCTGCAGGATGAATGATGCTCAAGGATTGGAGTGCGCAGGACTCTCTCCCTGGCTCTGGGAGGGGAGTGGGGTCCAGTGGGCTAGACCTGGGGGGCTGGGAGCCAGGACGTCTTGGCTCTTTTCCCAGTGTCTGTGGGAGATGTTCCTGTTTCTCCAGGCCGGCTTTATCTGCCGACCTGGTGGGGAGGGACGGGTGAGCGGGGGAGGAAATCGCTAGCAAGGGTGGGGGAGATGTCTGCCTCTCTATGACGTGTTATCCTAGCACCCCCTCCTATACCGAACCCTCCCTGTTCCCATAACCAAAGCTCCGACCATGTCTCTGTGTGCCCCCGACAACGAA